CGTATGTATATATACATATAGATACATGTACATATATCACATATATATATGAGACTTCATCCCCATATTCGGATGGTCCCAAGGTATTTGACCGTTTCGCCATTGAAGTACCACGTTTTGTTGCTTTTCTGAGAGTCCTTCAATGCATGATCACACACTGGAAGATCCCTGTCAATCAACCACAATCCAAGAGTTTTTTCATGATGTCACAACAATGGTGGACCCTTGTATTCCTGACTCCCCTCACCATACCGGTGAACGTCACATGTTAGAAGTTGACTGCCACGCGGCCTCGCGGCTCAAATTGGTCAGTCACGCGATCGTTTGCCAAATCAATGCGCCTTGGACAGAAATTGGACGAGCTGCGCCAGGCAGACTTTTTTCGGCAGCACATCATGATAAGTTGATAAGTTTCCGTGATCAACAAGCGGTACAGTACAGAAATCAAATTTGATCATCATCCAGAGTCAACCTCGAGCACTTCGTAGCTGGTTCCCAACCCTGCCCAAAGGTGAAAGAATGGGGAGGCGGGGGTCCGGGCGGGCAGGATCTTGACAAGCAAACATCAGATTGTTTGAATCAGACTGTGGAATTCAAGACTCAGAATCCCAACGTACTGTAATGTATCACTATATGACTATATATCTAATTATTTTCCCATTATTTACCCTTGTATTTTCACTTTTGCGTCCCCATTCTGAGCCATTCTTTTTGAAGATGATTTCTAACCATCCTTCAAACAATCAGAGTCACTTGGATTGATTGTTCATATTGAATCATATTAATTGATTATGATCAAATCATAGCCCAACAATTAGAATACATAAACCTTCATCAAAGAATCAGGTTGCTACCCTGACCCAGCTCCCCCAGCTTCAAAATTGACAGGGGACCATGGTCTCGAGTGACCGCACCTTGGTGAAATGTGCAGTGGACCAGTTGACCCTTTGTGGGAACTTAGTGTAGACTTTTCCCCGAAAAGATAGAAACATAAATCAGCATCAAAACAGTAGGGATCGCCTTTTTCTTTGGGATTCAATGAGATTCTCATGATGGATTGGGAATCGCGAAACCCATTTCCAGACTATGTTTGTGCTCTCTGACAGTTCTAATCCCATCAGTGCAAGCAGGGACAGATCTTGACGAAATTCGACACTTAGAGCCCCAGACAATCACCATGGTACTCGTATTTTTGTGCTGGTTCCTGGCAATTTGATATACAAATATATACACGAATATCCTATATATATATATATACCATGTATTTTCATGTACTGTATGTGTATATATATATACATAATATAGTGTAGCATATGTATATATATATATATACATAATATAGTGTAGCATATGTATATATATATATATACATGATATATATATATATATATATACATGGTATACATATATATGGTGTATATATATATATGTATATATATATGTATACATATTCTCCACATGCCATTGTCATTTCCCTTCCGTTTTCAAGCGATTCACAGATCCATGGGATCAGATGACTGTGAACTGTGACAGTTCGTCACACCTTTCTTTTCCAACCTCCACCCTCCAATCCTTCCGATAAATATATAATACCCTATATATATATAACCTGTGAACATATATATATATATGTATATATATATATAGATATATATATATATCTTGGCCATTTGTGTTGTGAACTTCTGAACCTTCCGATTTTCGGGATACCCAGCATTTGATGATACCTAGCACTACCTAACAAAGTACCCAAGCCAGCTGCCTAGCACCAGCTCCCAGGGGTGTATCAAGCGATATGCTCCCTCCAGCCGCTGGGCTGCGGGCGAGGAATCCCACAGATTCCTTGCACTTGGGAGTTGATCAGGAGTTGTTGACATGTTTGAACCCTTTGTTTTCCTATGTTTTCCTGTTGGATTTTGGACCAGCACTTGGGCCCTCATCAAGGCCAAGGCCAACAAGGCCAAGGCTGAGCTCAGCTGAGGGATCATCTACATCATCCTGAATCGGCTGCAAAAAGCCGTGAGCCAAAAGGCCAGCTGCTTGAGAAATTCTTCACCGCCTTCGGCGTGTTCCGCAAAGGGGAAAGAGCTATCCTGCAGGCCAAAAAAAGAGCGCTTACACAGGTGTAAAAAAATGGTTTTTGTGTATAATACGGTTTTTGCGTAATTTTGTGTAAACCATGGCTTCTACGCAAAACATGCTTTTTGGGTAAACCACGGTTTAAGTTTAAATCAAAGGATGCGTGTAAACCAGGTTTTGGAAAAGGCAGTGTATAGAAAGGTTACGCGTGTAAAAGGTGTTCCGTACAAAATCCAGTGGATGGACAGGCCACCTATATCAAGTATTGGAATTAAGAAAGGACGGAGCAAACCGATGGCAAACACAGCAAATAACAGCAGAATGTTCAAAACCAAGCGCATGTTGAGCGAGGCGTGGGCAGAGTTGAGCCCAGCACATCGTGACGGAAGATGAAAACGAAAAGCACGAAGAGGACGATGACGACGAAGACGAAGAAGAGCTACGCCAAAGGGGGGGGGGCAGGGTGAGGGGGGGGAGGGGGAGGGCTCAAGTTAGACGAGGCAAAAATCCGCGCCCAGGGGAAAGTCTAGACAAAGACAAAAGACGAGACAGACAGTACAACTACGAACAAGCAAGATCCACAAGACACACCGGCAGGCTGGCGGATTTCCTCCTGAACAGCCCACAGATTTTCGATACTGTATTTTCATGAACATCTCATCCCCAACCTCCAGCTGAGCCGTTTCTACACATTTTCCATCACCCAGTCACTGCAAACATAGATGCAGAACGATCCTTAACTGCTGCCACCTGCCAGCATTGTTCCTTTAAAACAGGTGATCTTGTCGTGGTTAATCTTCGACATCCTCGTGAGCATTGGGCTGCTGGTCTTCTACCTGCTCTTTCGTGACCTTGCGGCCCTGGGAGCCGCCTGCCCGCAGTGGTGGTAGTGGATAGATAATGAGGTAGTCAGTGTTAGGCCTTAGGTTGTAGGTAGTTGGTAGTGGGAAGGAACAGTGCCCGGACAGGACGAGATCATTTTGTATGGTACTAATAACGTTTTTTTTCTTCATATAAGCGATTTAACAATATCATACAAATTAATGAATGTACATATATAACTATATTTGTATATGTTTATATGTACATATGTATTAATTATATTACACATACAGTTATTCATTTTTATCATATGCCATATCTATTTACCATCCATCCTGACCCCACACCAGTCGACCGTCTCCGGCCCTGAGTTCTTCAAATCCGGAAAACTTTGGCTGGTCAGCCCGGACCTTGGTTTCGTTGCGGGTCAACAGTTGGAAATGTTCGGCGCGCACAACACAAACATCAGGAAAATTGCAATTTTAAACGATGCAAAATGAAGGATTTACTTTGATTCAATAATATATATATATAATTCTGTTGAATATGATTTTCGGGTTTTGTAGCCTGAATCTGTTGGGAACCCCCCCAAATCCATGGTTGATTTTAATTGTTCCTGTTAAAATCTGGCACACATGATGGGGGATCAATCCCTGATTTGCTCGTAGCAGATGGCATCGGATGATTTTACTTCACAACTGAACCAACCACATGCTTTTTTCCTAGACCTAGAGATACAACCCAGAAAGGGATTGACATTTTTTCAGGGTCAGTTCCTGCGACTTCCAGCCACTTGAACCCAGGTGTTGCTCGGCTGCTGCTCCTGTTCTTCGGCGTTTCAGTGGTGTGGAATCGAAGGTGGGTTTTTTCGTCAGAAGGCCCTGATGGAGCAACCATTGGGAGAAACCATTGGAACATCATATATGGTTATTAAACATGATTAAACCATCGTAAACCAACCATTCATTTCCTTGGGGATAATTATGAATATTGTCAACTTCATATGATAATTGGTTGTAGCGTCACGCCCAGTTTATGGTAATGAGGGCGGGGATAGTGATCAACCAGGATATTTACCATGGTAAATTAAGATAAACATGGAAGACCCATGGTTTCCCTAAGAACATGATATACTGTACAATGGGGGTTTGCCATATGCTAAATTGACTGGAGGCTATGATTTGAAGATATTTGAGGCCATTTTGGATTCGCCCGCAAGGCCGCAAGGATAGTGGATTTGTCACTAGATTGACAACGGCCTCAGAATGCTGCGTCTCTGGTTTGATGCTGTGGGTGTATACAGACATGGGCAACACCTCAAATCCACTACTAAGTTACTTGTTGATGTCAATTTTTTTGGGTCGCCTACCTTCCCAGTTGAAAATGACTTCCAGGGGGATGATTGTACCGGTGGGAGCAAGTCTACTAAACACTGGATGATTGGGGTCAGGTAAAGCCTTTGTCATCCTCACACTTGGAACCATTGGGTTGCCAGTGTCGACGCCAGGCATAAAAATGGTGAAGCGTTCTTCTGCACCTTTTTGGTCAATATGTGCCTTTGCAAAAGTGTGGACCATTTTAAAGTGCAGTTTTTCGCAGTCAGATGCTGCAATTCCTCAGTCGTAGCGAAGGCTTCCAAAAAAATTTGGCGACAGGTTCAGGTCAATGGATATTCCCTTACATAGGCCTTATATAGGCCTTATATATGGTAGGTACCTCCAATAAATCGGTTCCTGAAATGACCATTGATCAGGTTGTTCCTCAGTCGCCATTTGGCACGTGTTCCAAGGGTTCTTTTCATCGCCTTCTTGGTGCCTATCGAGAGGTGCAACGGAACCAGCGGAACCAACGTGGAACCAACGTGGAACCAGTGGGCAGTTTTCTGGGGTTCCGGCTGGAACACCAGCCATTTTTTGTTATCCCGAATTACCATATGGTTATTTAACATAGCCATGGAAAATCACCATTTTTAATAGGTAAACCATCTATAAATGGGCCATTTTCCATGGCGAACTGTTAGTCATAACCAGAGGGTATTCCCTTTAGTATGGTATCCCCATTTCAAAGGATCTTCCCACTTTCTTCCCAACAAAATCGCCATGGCGTTGCTTGAAAACTCAGAACCAGCTTCCGCAGGCCGTCCCTTTCCCCCATCCTGCAGGCTGGTGTGTGATTGCAGAACAGGAACCTGGGCTCAGCCCCTTGGCTGTGGCCAGTTGGTTCAGGCTGCAGTTGAAATAGTCATGGCTTAAGAATCAGACTGACAGGCACATTTTTTGAGAAAACACATCTAACCATGAATCATAGATATTTACTGGGAATAACTATGGAGATCATAGACGATTATCAACTTGAGATGATATTCAGGTTGCTTGAACATGGAGTGTAAGTGTAACCCCTAGTTTATGCCAAATCCGGGCATTGCCCTATTTTCAGACAAGTCTACATGATCATATCATATATATATATGAATCTATCTTATCTTATTTTATCTTAATCTAATCTAATCTTATCTTATCCTTATCCTTATCCTTATCCTTAATCTAATCTAATCTAATCTAATCTAATCGTATCTAATCTTAATCTTAATCAAATCAAATCTAATCTAATCTTATCCATCTTATCTATCTTATCTATCTATCTTATCTTATCTTATCATATCATATCATATCATATCATATATTATCATCTATATATCTATCTATCTTATCTATCTTATCTATCTTATCTATCTTATCTATCTTATCTATCTTATCTATCTTATCTATCTTATCTATCTTATCTATCTTATCTATCTTATCTTATCTATCTTATCTATCTTATTATCTTATCTATCTTATCTATCTTATCTATCTTATCTATCTTATCTATCTTATCTATCTTATCTATCTTATCTATCTTATCTATATCTATCTATCTATCTATCTATCTACCTATCTACCTATCTACCTATCTACCTATCTACCTATCTACCTATCTACCTATCTACCTATCTACCTATCTATCTATCTACCTATCTACCTATCTACCTATCTACCTATCTTATCTTATCTTATCTTATCTTATCATATCATATCATATCATCTATCTATCTATCTATCTATCTATCTATCTATCTATCTATCTATCTATCTATCTATCTATCTATCTATCTATCTATCTATCTATCTATCTATCTTCTATCTATCTATCTATCTCTATCTTCTATCTATCTATCTATCTACTATCTATCTATCATCGATCTATCTACTCTATCTCTACTATCTTCTATCGATCTACGATCTATCTATCTATCTATCTATCTATCGATCTATCTATCTATCTATCTATCTATCTATCCCTATCTATCCTATCTATCCTATCTATCCTATCTATCCTACTCTCCTATCTATCCTATCTATCCTATCTATCCTAATTCTGTCTATCATCCTATCTGTCCGATCTGTCCTATCTGTCCTATCTGTCCTATCTGTCCTATCTGTCCTATCTGTCCTATCTGTCCTATCTGTCCTATCTGTCCTATCTGTCCTATCTGTCCTATCTGTCCTATCTGTCCTATCTGTCCTATCTGTCCTATCTGTCCTATCTGCCCTATCTGTCCTATCTGCCCTATCTGCCCTATCTGTCCTATCTGCCCTATCTGCCCTATCTGTCCTATCTGTCCTATCTGTCCTATCTGTCCTATCTTTCCTATCTATCCTATCTATCCTATCTATCCTATCTACCCTATCTATCCTATCTATCCTATCTATCCTATCTATCCTATCTATCCTATCTATCCTATCTATCCTATCTATCCTATCTATCCTATCTATCCTATCTATGCTATCTATCCTATCTATCCTATCTATCCTATCTATCCTATCTATCCTATCTATCCTATCTATCCTATCTATCCTATCTATCCTATCTATCCATCTATCTATCTATCTATCTATCTTGCCTGACATCTGCTGGGTCGATGATCAAGTTTCTTGCTGGCTATCATGGTTCATGGTTCGAACGAAGTGGCTGAGGTGCAATGCAGCCCAATCCTTCAAGTATCCAGCGTCTTGGTGGGCCAGGATTACCCACAAGAGAATATTTTGTGATTTCTATGAAAGTATTAGTTATATTTACTGATAATGTTTAGATGGGGAATAATGTCTTATTATATGTAATGCAATTTTCTTGCTTATACCAATTTACTTCGCTCTACTGCACTTGAGGGCTGCTGGTCGGGTTATTCTCCTTTTGCGCGCACACACAGACACACAGCTATCTCGGTCCATTCTTCTCCATTCTTGTAGATGTTTACCTAAGGGCCATGTGTAGGCTGGCGCCAGATTTTGATCCATTCATAACCTTGACCGCCTGAGGAAGGAGCCAGGTATAATCCGTATCGACCAATGCCCATCGATGAGGAGACCAAACGGGGCGGATCTTTTTTTGGCCCTGCCAAGCTTTGAAGAGACACCCTTTTACTGGAATACTTTACTGTATGATTAATCAATTTCCATAGATTAAGAAAACCCATTGTATGGTCCCAAAAAATTCTAATTCCCTTACTAAACTTACTAAACCATGTTTTCTATGGAGTGTTTAATATGAAGGAAGGGAGCATCAATCTCCAATGTGATGATCTGCTAGGACCAGAAAAGAGAGGAACTGGGGCCTGATACCAGGATGTTGCTTGGAGTGATGAGGGTGGGAGGAAACAAAATCCATTGCCGTCTGTTGGGAATTTCGAAAGGTGAATTGCTTTATAATCATCTATTTCTGGCGTATTTTCCAGCCAGTTTAAAATGCGGAGTTGTTTGTCCTTTCTACCCTGTGGTAATCAAACATGGCTAGTAAATCCCCGAACTCAATGGAGGTTTCAATTGGAAAGTCACCTAAAAAATGGCTAAACATGGGCCATTTTCCATTGCCATCTTTGGTGGGAGTCGATATGAGGCAGAAGGCAGAACCGCCAGAGACTGGGCGTTGGAGATGGGCGTTGAGATGGTCGTTTCCACCGACAGAGAGATTTTTCTATAGAAGATCCAATAGTTTTTTGCAAAGGAATGTCATAGCATGGTCATGATGGTCATAATTCTTGACATTCTTACACTTCAAATACAGTGTTTATGCTTCTTGCCCTTCGCAAACAGCTAAAAAGTGAAGATTAGAATACATACAGCTATAAGCTATATATATAACCCCCAGTTAAATAAATAAATGAATAAATACATAAATAAATAAATACATAAATAAATAAATACATAAATAAATAAATACATAAATAAATAAATAAGTACATATATATATATATATCAATATTTCAACCAATATCTAACTGGGGGCTCACTCTTCTGACCGCCTCAGGATATCCTCTACGTCTTGCGACCACCCCGGAGCAGCAGTCTGCTGCAGGCAGTGCAGCGGGGCATGGTGGGATATGTTATAATTATATATGTAATTGATTACATGTATATATAACGTATATGGCATACATAGAATACAGAATCGAAAATTTCGGCCTCCAGAAGCATCTTCCGGAATCGGTAAAAAAAACCTATACATAGAATAAAAGCATCTTCCGGAATCGAAAAAAAACACCAATACATAGAATATTTCCGGCTATCTATTTTGATCCGGGAAATTTTTTTTTCCTCAGGTTTTGCTGGATTTCTGCAGCCGCCCGTGATTCAAGTATATGTTCACTGGGGACCTATATTCCATGTATGTAGTTCTGCAAGGAATTGGGTTTCTTTCATGTATAAGGGTATATATCATATCCGTAATTCCCTTTGGCAAGTAGCAACCCTGGATGTCTGAAGTTCCTAAACTACAACGTTTCAACAAAAAAACAGGTCCCCCGAAATGACCAGTTTCTTTTTATATTGTATTAAAAAATATAGTTTTTTAGGCTCACCGAAGGGTACCCCCCACGACTGGTGTCGTAGAACTATGAAAAAAAAAACTATTTTGCAATGAAAACCAATGGAATTGGGTGGTGATCCTCAAAAAATTGATGAATATTTTCACTGGGGACGTATATTCTATGTATGTAGTTCTGCAAGGAATTGGGAGTCTTTCATGTATAAGAGTATATATCATTTATGTAATTCCCTTTGGGGAGTAGCAACCCTGGATATCTGAAGTTCCTAAACTACAACGTTACAACAAAAAAACAGGTCACCCGAAATGACAAATTTCTTTTTATATTGTATTAAAAAAATGAGTTTTTCAGGCTCACCGAAGGGTACCCCCCACGACTGGTGTCGTAGAACTATGAAAAAAAACACTATTTTGCAATGAAAACCAATGGAATTGGGTGGTGATCCTCAAAAAAATGATTCATATGTTCACTGGGGACCTATATTCTATGTATGTAGTTCTGCAAGGAATTGGGTTTCTTTCATGTATAAGGGTATATATCATATCCGTAATTCCCCTTGGCAAGTAGCAACCCTGGATGTCTGAAGTTCCTAAACTACAACGTTTCAACACAAAAACAGGTCCCCCGAAATGACCAGTTTCTTTTTATATTGTATTAAAAAAAATAGTTTTTTAGGCTCACCGAAGGGTACCCCCCACGACTGGTGTCGTAGAACTATGAAAAAAAAACTATTTTGCAATGAAAACCAATGGAATTGGGTGGTGTTCCTCAAAAAATTGATGAATATTTTCACTGGGGACGTATATTCTATGTATGTAGTTCTGCAAGGAATTGGGTCTCTTTCATGTATAAAGGCCTTATAAGGGTATACATTATATACGTAATTCCCTTTGGGGAGTAGCAACCCTGGATGTCTGAAGTTCCTAACTACAACGTTTCAACAAACAAACAGGTCACCCCGAAATGACCTATTTCTTTTTATATTGTATAAAAAATGAGTTTTTCAGGCTCACCGAAGGGTACCCCCACGACTGGTGTCGTAGAACTATGAAAAAAAAAACTATTTTGCAATGAAAACCAATGGAATTGGGTGGTGATCCTCAAAAAATTGATGAATATGTTCACTGGGGACCTATATTCTATGTATGTAGTTCTGCAAGGAATTGGGTCTCTTCCATGTATAAAGGTATATATCATATATGTAATTCCCTTTGGAGAGTAGCAACCCTGGATGTCTGAAGTTCCTAAACTAGAACGTTTCAACAAAAAAACAGGTCACCCGAAATGACCAATTTCTTTTTATATTGTATTAAAAAAATGAGTTTTTCAGGCTCACCGAAGGGTACCCCCCACGACTGGTGTCGTAGAACTTTAAAAAAAAACTATTTTGCAATGAAAACCAATGGAATTGGGTGGTGTTCCTCAAAAATTGATGAATATTTTCACTTGGGACCTATATTCTATGTATGTAGTTCTGCAAGGAATTGGGTCTCTTTCATGTAAAAGAGTGTATATCATTTATGTAATTCCCTTTGGGGAGTAGCAACCCTGGATGTCTGAAGTTCCTCAACTAGAACATTTCAACAAAAAAAACAGGTCACCCGAAATGACAAATTTCTTTTTATATTGTATTAAAAAAATGAGTTTTTCAGGCTCTCCGAAGGGTACCCCCCACGACTGGTGTCGTAGAACTATGAAAAACAACACTATTTTGCAATGAAAACCAATGGAATTCGGTGGTGTTCCTCAAAAAATTGATGAATATTTTCACTTGGGACCTATATTCTATGTATGTAGTTCTGCAAGGAATTGGCTCTCTTTCATGTATAAGAGTATATATCATTTATGTAATTCCCTTTGGGGAGTAGCAACCCTGGATGTCTGAAGTTCCTCAACTAGAACATTTCAACAAAAAAAAACAGGTCACCCGAAATGACAAATTTCTTTTTATATTGTATTAAAAAAATGAGTTTTTCAGGCTCACCGAAGGGTACCCCCCACGACTGGTGTCGTAGAACTATGAAAAAAAACACTATTTTGCAATGAAAACCAATGGAATTGGGTGGTGATCCTCAAAAAAATGATTCATATGTTCACTGGGGACCTATATTCTATGTATGTAGTTCTGCAAGGAATTGGGTCTCTTCCATGTATAAGAGTATATATCATTTATGTAATTCCCTTTGGCAAGTAGCAACCCTGGATGTCTGAAGTTCCTAAACTACAACATTTCAACAAAAAAACAGGTCACCCGAAATGACCAGTTTCTTTTTATATTGCATTAAAAACATGAGTTTTTCAGGCTCACTGAAGGGTACCCCCCACGACTGGTGTCGTAGAACTATGAAAAAAAATTACCCAGAACCCAAAAAATGTTCAATCTGCTGGGTTTCAGACATGTTTTCGATATGGGAATATCGTTATTCCTATGGTATTTGCTTTGGCACTGTTTATGCACTCCAAAATTCTACCCCAAATATTTCTACCCCAAATATTCTAAGTTTTTTTTTTGCGTCCACACCCGTAGGGTTGAAATCGGGCATATTCTAAGTAGGCGATCATGGTTATATATATATATATATGTATGTATGTATGTATGTAATTATGTACAGCTATATACAATCTGGTAAACCCAAAGCCAAGAATCTCCAATAAACCAGACGACAATACTCATCTTACGGATTTTGCTCTACCATATACGGATGACTTTAAACTAGACACACCGCTGAGTGCTGGACACTTCAGGAGGTGGCGAGTCAGGAGCCTTCCCTCCGATTGCCCAAGCGTCTCTGGGCTGGTGGTCATGACCGATGGCTGATGGACCCCACTTTTTTGATGGTCATGGGAGGTACTATATCCTCCGGTGATGGGTACCGGAAGGTCCTCTAGAAATGGAGATTTCAATAATGGGAACGTCAACTACAAATGGAGGTTTTAATGGGAACAACCATACAGATGGAGGTCTCCTCATGAGAAAATCATCAATGATGGACATTTAAGTGGTTGTTCCAGCAAGCCATTTTCGATGACCGGAGGGTACATCCTTTGGCGATGATTCTCTGGGGATTTTGCCAGCAGGTGATTCATGTTTTTGCCCGAGGCTTGCTTGGCAAAAAGGCCTTGCATCAAGCTGGCAAGCAGCAGAAACTGGGCGTAGCATTCCCTTTTTAGCCACTGGTAATTGATGTTGTAGTGAAAGACCCAATAGGACCCCAATGTGTGAAATGTGCAGTGGTTTGGGTGATTTTGGGTAAGTGGTTACTGACATGGCACCCCAATCTGTCAACTAACGAGAAAGGTAATTCTCTTTGCAACATGTCTCAGCTGGCTCAGTGAGAAAAGTGAGCACCAACCTCACAACTTGTCACGCTGTCAAGCAAAATATCAACTGAGGAGTATGTTGATGCTTGATGCCCCTGATGAGCCAAAGGAGTCCAAGAAGTCAAAGGAGCCTGAGAACTCAAAGCCTGAGAACCCGACAGAGCCTGAGAACTCAAAGCCTCAGAACCCAACGGAGGCTGAGAACTCAAAGCCCGAGAACCCGACAGAGCCTGAGAACTCAAGGCCTCAGAACCCAACGGAGGCTGAGAACTCAAAGCCCGAGAACCCGACAGAGCCTGTGAACTCAAAGGGGCCTGGGAAGTCAGAGGAGCCTGCGAAGACAAAGGAGAGCGAGGAGATTTGGCACGATTAGGGGAGGGGTCAAGAAAAGGAAAAGCTAACCTCTTTTGAGTAGATTTTTCCAAGGCAGACACGCGCACACACACAAAGCTATCTACGGTTGGAAAGGATATGAAATCAGCAAATGAATGCCTTTTCATTGCATGGTTTAGAGTGTGAATTTTGCAAAGACCAGCTTGGAATACGATGGAAAAGAACCGCACGATTCACCGTGTAAGCGGCCGATGGCAGCCCTGAGTTTGATTTCAGCTGATAGAACTCGTCTCCGCCGCCGCAAGAAGGACACCCCTCGCAACATCTCCAAAGCTTGCAGATCCTCGGCATGGAAATACTGTTGGATCCATAGGATGATGACCCGATATTTTCAGAAGCTAACGCGCGCATATAATACATACGCAGGATTACATACGCAGGATTACACACGTGTATCTAGGGTTTATATATTAGTATGTATATATATATATATATGTACATAGTCCCAAACGGCACGGTTTGATGTGGAGATCGACTTAGGGCGCCTTGCTTCATGAAGGGTTATGCAGGATACCAGTGCGATCACATTCTTCAGAATGTCAGGATGCGAGACCATTTCAAGATCACCGATTTCTGCTTGTGAATGTGTTGTGGCTCAATTCCAGACGTGCAAGGTCTAAGATTCACATTTTTTCCTGGGAGGCCATTTTTTTTTCCAGTTTCAGTAGACCCATAATTTTTGGCTCCTTCTTCCCGGTCCGCCCTGGTATTGATCGCATCCAGGAGACGTTTTTCCCAAGGGAATCCCGGAGACCCTCACAGCGGACGACCTCGCAGCCCTCAACGATCTACCGGTGCTGCTGGATCTTCGACAATCGCTGCCAGAGAAGGTGACGCAGGAGATGGGGCCAGGTCCCGGGCTAGTGATGTTTGTTTTTGAGGCCATTGAAGAAGAATTGTTGGAATCCTTGGATTTTTTGAATTTCTGAATTTTTGGGAGTTTTTGGATATGAAGAACTGCTGGTGCAAGGGTCAGCTGCAGTTAGAGTCAAACTTTGAGCTCAAGACGATGGTTGACTTGCCACGTAGAAATTTCAGGTCACTGATTCTTCAGCAATCTCCTTTCTTAATCTTACACCCAGGACTTGGGCCATGTGAGTGTCAGGTCACCGGATTCAACGGCTGAAGCATCCCAGGACTTGGATGAAGCCGAACAGCAAAAAATTACGGAGCTCCTGCACGAGCTCTGCGATGAGCACATGGGCACCTTGGGTCTGATGCCCAAAGCAGAAAACAAGGCAGAGACAGAGACCTGGATGGCAGCTGTTTTTCGAGCACATGGGGAGATTTCCATGTTTTACTCGGAATACAACAAGTACAAAAAATTGGGATGACCGGTAAACATGGAAGGGGTCTAAGTTTTCACCAACATTCTTAGTGGACTTTCACCAGCAGAAACTACGAGGAACTGGCAAAATCACAGCTATTGTGAAACCATGATAGAATATAGAATGATGGGAATGTGCTATGATTGACTGCAAACTGGTCACACGATGACCAACAACATATGGCTATGAGTCAATTTTGCTTGGTACCTTACGTACCCCAATTCATAGCCGGTTTACGGATGTTTATTCCCCCAGTCATATGGTAATTGAATAGGCTTTGACCCATTTCCATATCAAGCTTTGAACGTTCTAAAACCAACTGAGACTTGATGCTTGACCATGAAATCTCTGAGGAGAAGCAGGCGCTCTACATGACTGACCTAATTGAGTTGCTGAAGACTCAAATTTGAGGGACCAGATGGTATTTCCTAAAATGGTGGTATGCCTAAATCATCAATTTTATAACAGGTTTTTCCCATTATAAAACCATCCAGCTATTGGGAGCCATTAGGAAACCCCCCTCAGGACCATGGCTCAATTCTCTCATCAAAAAACATCAGACTACTTGACCCTCAGTGCAGCGAGCACGGTCCCACCTTCAATAGCGAAAGCTGATAGATTTTTCTTTTCTGGTTGGTGAATTCACGATGTAGGGAATTCAAGAGAATTGCACAGTCTGCATATTCTGTATTTTGTTGTCCCCACAAGCAAACCAGGTCCAAGTGTGCCCAAAGTAGTCAGGGAAGCAAACCAAGCATCCGAGACATGGGATGTATGTGTGGGTCGACTTTAAGCCGCTGGCAAACACAGGATCTATAAACTTCTCTTCTTGGTTTAAATTCTAATATCTCAACAGATATATTATTTTAGACGCATACATACTATTGTTCTTGAAAAAAAATCTTGCTTTTTAATTCTGAAATCTCAACAGATGGATTATTCTATAATCACACATAGTCACACACAGTCAGTACGCCATCTAAATGTTCGAACCGAGGCTTTGAATGTTTGCATCCGGCCCCCAGATCCCCAGATCCCCAGGTTGAACGCCGGAGAGCAGGTGAAAGCTTTGGATCAGCACTTCAGGCGCCATTCGTCATCGGAGATGGAGATATGGCATCGGAGATGACCTGCGATGCATGATTTACATGGATTTATAGCGTTAGTTTATGTGAATTCATGTAACATCCCTGCATCTTAGGAGTCTTAGGATACTGGAATGAGGATTTCGGGGCAACGGATATGATTATGGTACTTGATCTTGGACAAGTGATCCTTGATGCAGAGCCAGGCGCACCTGTCGTTGCGAAGGTCACAGTAGTTGTGCCTCGGTATAGCCGCCCATGGTGGACCTTGAAGACAGAACGATGGTTGTGAAGTATGCTATAAGACGTTCAGTTTGAGACATATCATTGCATAATATTGCACGCATTAGTAATATATACATACCTATATATATATATATACATATACATATCCATGTGCATACATACGTACGTAAGTACGGACGTACATACATACATACCTACATACGTCGGTACGTACGTACCTACGTACCTACATATCTACGTACCTACGTACCTACGTACCTACGTACCTACGTACCTCCCTACCTACATACCTACATACCTACATACCTACATACCTACATACCTACATACCTACATACCAACATACCAACATACCAACATACCAACATACCAACATACCAACATACCAACATACCAACATACCAATATACCAACATACCAACATACCAACCTACCAACCTACCTACCTACCTACATACATACATACATACATACATACCATGTACATGTACATGTACATTTACATTTACATTTCCATTACATTCCATAACACTACATACATAACATTACAAAACATTACATAACATTACACTACATAACATTACATAGCATTATAATGCAATGTGTGTATAATAACATTACGTACAATACACATACATAACATTACACACACCCGTTGCATACATACGTACGTACGTACATACATCATGCATGCATGCAATACAATACAATACAATACAGTACAGTACAATACAATACAGTACACATACAAATACAGATGCAAATGCAAGTACATAGGCAAATACAAAGGCAAATACAAATACAATACATGCATCCATCCATCCATCCATCCATACATATATATATATATAATTATATACATATGTACATATGTACAACCATCATGCACGTTAGACCTGGCACGTGGCCGTGGCCCGTGGCCGTGGCCCGTGGCTGTGGCCCGTGTTAGGCAACTGGTATTCTTATGGCGCTCACATGACGATGTGGTGCTACGTGGCCGAAAGCTCGGTCCCCTGGTGCCATTTGGAAGGGATCCAGCTCTTCAAGGAGATACGCTGGAGATAACAATATCCCTAGATGTGGCATATGGCTTATATATATATATATATTTATGGCTACTCTAAACCATCATTTTTTTGGGTGGTATAAATCAACATTTTTTTTTGTTTTTCGAGAATTTCTTGTCCACTGATCTCCAGTGGTCATGTTCTGTCGATGTTGGTCGCCCCTGAGAGGATACAAAGAACAAGACCTGGACGGTGGATTTGTGTCAGGAGGGCTCCTGCAAATGTGCTGGACTGGGCATGCCAGCGGAGGACGAGGACACGGTGGATGCGGACAACCCGCTGATTCAGAAGAACCTTGGGCCCCGAAAAAGGTGAAGATTGGAGCTAATGGGCTTAAACCCAATGCCATAAACGATAAATTCATGGGTTGGATTGAAACCATCCCCAAATTGGAGGTGTTTACGGCATTGGGTTGTGGGCAACATGATCAGGATTTTTCCTGATGAGGTTGAATGGCGCAATGAAGACATGGAATGACTGCAAGCACAGACATTGATATTATAATATATTATATATTAGTTCATGTAGATGATAATATCAATTATATATATATTATAATATATATCATTGATATTATCATCTATATTATATTATGTCTGGATGATTTCTATTATATATTGATATTATATTACTTGCAAACATGTGTCACGGGTCAAACGCCGCTGCTCTGAGTCCAACCCGTCCAGACAATGTTCCACCGAAAAGGAGTGGGAGAACTGCAGCCGTGAGAAAGGGGTCATCCCTCTGGTAATTTAACATAGCTATTGAAAATGACCATTTATAGTGGATTTTCCCATTGAAAATGGTGATTGTCCATAGTTATGTAAACGTTTACCAGAGGGTAAGTATTGAGTTATAAGTCTGAAAAAAGTATTTAGAAGTTATTTTTCCAGTGGTTGATATAAGTTACCCATCTTAAAAAACGACCAACCCGTTTTTTTTTGTTTTCTCCCAGGAATCCCATCTACTATGGCTACAAGTGCGGCAAGTGGCGCAACGGCGATACCCTGAGTTGGTGTTGGGCCGGCATGGATAGCAGCTGCTTCAATCGCGACCGACCTCTGCCCCCGGATTACAAGACATCCAATTGGCCGAAGGGGAAGCTTGGAAGATGATTGATCTGGGTAAATTTCATCACGACCTCACTACGACCTCACTGGAATCATGGTTAATAAGGGAAATCATCCCCCAATGGCCTTAATTCAGGTTTGTGAATTATTGTAATTGGCCCAGATTGATGGGTCAGAGCCTGACATGTCCCAACTTTTTTTGGAAGTAGACCGGGCAAACACCCTTTTTTGGCGTTGAAATGGAGGTTAACCCAGATAACCCTCCTATGGAGCCACTGAATGCTTGATGAACCCAAATGGCCAGGATCTGCCAGGACTTTGTAGGTGCTGTTCAGCAAATTGGATGAATTGTTGTTGCATCTTGATGCTTGATTCTGGCTGGTGGTTTCAAATGTTTCTATCTTCCACACGCTGAGACGATGTTCTTATTGTGACATTTCACAGTATTATATTATATTATATTTATCCTATATTGTTCTTATTATTATATTATATTATATTATATTATATTATACTATATTATATTATATTATACTATATTATATTCTATTATATTATATTATATTATATTACATTTTATTATATTATATTATATTATATTATATTTATATATTAAGTTTGAACTTCACCAAAAACATTTCACAGTCGCTGAGGATGCTGTACATGTTCCGATCGGTGGAGCCTTGTTCCAACAACAACTTGGGTCAGGGGCCGGGAGGACGGCTGGAGCCGGCCCTGCAGCTCTGTGAATACCTGCAGGCGCCGGAGGATTGCCGGCTAGATAGGAACATAAAGAACTGCGAAACCCTACATAGCTATATAGTATAATATAGAATATAATATAGAATATAATATAGAATATAATATAGTATATACACATGGCTATATAGTATATTCTAGCCCCAAACTACTTTTCTGTTCTTTTTTGGTTGCTGTACGTCAAATTTTGACCACCTTGATGGCTGCAGCGGAAATTGTGTGTGTCTGTGTTTTTTTTTTTGACATCTTTCACCGTTCAAGCTTGGAGATGTTTGCTCCCAATCTTATTGAAGTAACACCCTGCAAGATAGAACAGTCATTTCCAATGTTCTTTAGAATTATGCACCCTGGGGTAAACAAACATAGATGTGGAAAACCAATGGTTTCCCAAAGAAATGGTGGGTTTTCCACATCTATCTTATTTTGCAGGAGGGTAGTCTTGAAGCTGCCGTGTCCCTGGAGGTGTCTCTGGAAATCTTCATGTACCTCTACCTGATTTGACACTTGCCAAAATGGGCCGTTCGGAACGTTTGTCAAGGAATGGGATGTTTTAGCCAGAATAGGGTGATATGTTTTTGGGAAAAAGAATGTACCCTCTGGTGAACTAACATAGCAATGGAAAATCACCATTTTTAATGGGAAAATCCACTATTTCTATGGCCATTTTCCATAGCTTTTTGTATGTTTACCAGAGGGTAGAACCAACATTGAAGCAACAGTATGATTTTTGAATGGGATTGATTCCCCGAGATTTTGCCATTAAAAATGGTGATAAATTGGGATGATTACTCACCTGATGGCGGTTCGGGCTGAGCCCTGTTCATAGGGGTTGATGGAAATTAATCATTTCATAAGCTTGAAACAGCTGCCCAGAACTTGTGATTTGAATGGGATGATGATTATCCCTGGGTCCGCTGGGGGTACTGCATTTTCAGACAAAGGCAAATGGGTTTAGTGTCGGCAGACTGCATGTCACTGAGTAAAATGTTGCACAAAAAGGTTGCTGAAAACAGGAACTGGCTTTGACTCAAAATCTAGCCTCAAATTGGATGCTGGGTTGGAACATCATGAACTTTGTGGCTTGTGGGTAAGGGTTCCCCAGAATTTTGGGGTCCCGGTATACCAACGTCTTCACTTCAAGGGATTAGTCCTGGGGATGTGCGATTTTTCCACGCAGCTCTATTGCCCTGCCGGGGCAATTGACAAAGACGTAAGATGCCACAGCTGTACATAAACACAACATGTAGAGGTTACACATATAATAATAATAGTTCATAATAATAGTATATGTATATATTTATATGTGTACACAAGTGCATAATGTATACATACACAATACACATTGCGATATATATATATGTACATGTATCTACATATAAACAGATATTGTGCGTTTAATTTGAACATCCATATCCAAGGCCCACGACAGGCTACCAGACCTGTGGCTTTGGAAAACAAATCTCCGCTGGCACCAAGGTATGTTCCCCATGGGTGGCATCATCTTCAAATTCATCTGTAATCGCTGTGGCGATGCCATACAGACTGAGCATCAATTCCAGGCGCGAAAAATCCACTGACTTAAAAAACGGTTCGGGATGTTTTACCCCTATGTTTCAATGGATCCCTCCCTGCTTTCACAAGTTTTGCCAGATTTCTACTGTCATGGACAGCGTTTTGTGAAGGCAGTATGGACACCGTCCTAGTGGTGATTCTTCCCAGCTACAAATACCTTCTCAGGATATGTTGGGCATATTTGTTTTGGTCGAGTACCTTCTCAGGCTTTTCATGAGTTAGTACATGAATGTATGTATGTAATGAAATGTAATGAAATGTAATGTAATGTAATGTAATTTGATTTAATTTAATGTAATGTAATCTAATGTAATTAATGTAATGTAATTTGATTTAATTTAATGTAATGTAATCTAATGTAATGTAATGTAATTTGATTTAATTTAATGTAATCTAATGTAATGTAATGTAATTTGATTTAATTTAATGTAATGAAATGTAATGTAATGTAATGTAATTTGATTTAATTTAATGTAATGTAATCTAATGTAATGTAATGTAATTTGATTTAATTTAATGTAATGTAATCTAATGTAATGTAATGTAATTTGATTTAATTTAATGTAATGTATGTACATACCATACCATACCATACCATACCATACCATAGCATAGCATAGCATAGCATAGCATAGCATAGCATAGCATACATACATACATACAATACCGTACCGCACCGTACCGTACCCTACATTACACTACACTACACTACAATGCAATAAAAAAAACACCACAGTACATACAGGATTATGTATATATATATATACGTACACATACTTACACGCATCATTGCAATATGTATGTGATATACATTACATTAGAGTACATTAGAGTACATTAGAGTACATTACAGTACATTACATCACATTCCATTACATCACACTAGACTACACTAGACTAGACTAGACTACATCCCATCACATCACATCACATCACATCACATCACATCACATCAGTTCACATTATATTTCACATCTCATTATATATTTCACATCACATGTGGCATTGCCTTCCATTCTTCTATTCCATCACATTACATTGACATCAAATTCTACCTGTTTCATCCAGTTTCTCCAGTTTCAAACGGCTCCAGGCCTACGACACCTCCGAAGACTCCGACGACGTGAGCGGCGCCGCCGCGGAGCCGCCCGCTTCGTCAGCGCCGGCGCGGGATAGCTTCACGGCATGGGAGGGAAGCCGATGAGAAAAAGCCGGCGCCATGGGATGGTGAACACCATGGGACCATGGGGCCCGGGGGGATCTGGTTGGAAGATGGTGTTTTTACCAAAGCGATTGGTTGGCAGATCGGTAAGAAAACCGATTAGGCGTTTTTTGTGGGAAATCTGAATCAGACCAATGAGGGGCAACATCGATGCCTGACTGTGCGAGCTCACTTGCACCTATCCGGAGAGACTCTGAGGGGCTTGAGTGCATTTATGAAATTTACCAAGTTTCCTGACTAAAGTTGAGAGGCATGAAATTCCCTGTATCCAAGCCGTACCCCTGCTGGTACTCTGGCTGCAGCGATGGTCGGGTTGGGTCAGATGGCAACCTGAAATCACAATGATAATGATATGTAAACGTCTCAGATTGACCAGACCCCAGATGACTAGCCCAGGAGGCCAAATCACGGTCACAAGTCAAACTCAACATCTTTCCCACAGCACCAGGATTTTTGGGGCCACAGCAGGCACAGGCAGCACAGTCTTCGCCCCTGGCCATGCCGCATCCTCCCTTGTTGATTGAGACGGCAGAGGTCTCTCCTCTCAGTGAGCCAGATATCCTTTTGCAGGAGCCGGAGCTCAAATAGTTCCCTGATCAGAAGCCAGCAGTCATCCCACTGATTGCTGAAGAATTGGCCATTTGGAAGTAGATGACCTTAACTCAAATGGGGCTCGACTGAATCTTAGGGCATGTCCTCCCTGCCTGGCGCGAGGACAGCCCACCTAGCGACTTCCCGGGGGTCCCAGTCTTGCCGGGCGGAGCATTGGGTGCCACGAATGGACTGGTGTTGCATCCACAAAAGTGGAGCGAGGATCAAGTGAGGGTCACTTGGTAAATCCTGGCCATAGTGGGTCCCTGTTATTCCCAGGATTGATGGGAGACTGTGGGAAGGGGATTGAACTGAAATGAGGTTGATGCAACAATTTGACCAATCATATCATATTTACTGTAGAAAGCAAGAGGTCCTTTGCGGCTAAAAGTCCACAATTTTCGTCGACACTGGACACTAAGGAATGGTGGGAGAGACAGACCAAGAGGCTGGGACAGTGCAAAAAGTGCGCCCAGATGCACCCAGTTGAGCTTTTTACAACATGTGAAGTGGGTCATATATGGTCACTCTGTTAAAACCTAGGAGCAACAGTACCCAGCAGAACATCGGTTTTTCACGGGGTTTTCCACAGGTTTTTCACAGTTTGAATGGGTTTTCACCTGAAGTCCCTTGAGGCGACCGCAAGTGGAGCCTCTGTCCAAAGGCACCGATGGCCGGAACATCATGCGTTGGAACGTGAGTCGTTTTGAGCAGACGCTCGGGCACCGGGTCACCCAAAATGGCAGCCTTGCTGGATGCCAGGTTTTTTTTTTCATGAATGGAGCCAGAATGGGAGCCACGGCCTGGTACCCAAATGTGGCAAGTGCAGACATTCTGAAGATTCCTTTTGTACATCTTAGGCCATCTTAAAATTCATGAGGTAAACCATGGTGAACCAAAGAATGGACCATCCCCAGATGGGGGTACCCCCCAAAATGGGGGTGGGCCCCCAGTTATCCTATCATTTTTTTTATAGGTGGATTTTCCACTATAAACCATCCAGCTATTGGGGTATACCGGTATACCCATGTATGGAAATCCCCATTTCCAAGCCCCAGGATGTGCAAGGACACTGGTCTGGCTATGGCGCTCTATCAGGAGCCAATGGAGGGAAATCTGTCTGGGACGAATTATCGAATGGACACCTAAAGACACCTACGATGTTTTTAAAAGGACATGTGAACTACACACACATAATATATATATATATGTATAGCATGTATGTATATATTGTATATATATGTATAATTATATATATACATACATGCTATTCATATATATATATAGTATATATATATATAGTATATATATATAGTATATATATATAGTATATATATAGTTATATATATATATATAGTTAGTATATATATATATAGTGTGTATATATATAATATATGTACACAATATATATATATAATCATTATGTACTTAAATATGAAGTACATACATACATAGATTATAAATCATTAGTATAGACTCAATGGCTCATTTCATGGGAATTCAACGTCGCCCCAACTCGTTGACCCGTTTTGCCGCCAAGCCACGCCTCCAGCCGGGTGGAGGACTTGCGAAACGAGGTGCAGCGCTTCGAACATTTTCGCAAGACTGGGGTGGTGCTGAAGGCAGGGATGGCAGGTGATTAAAAAGGTGCAAAAAGTCAAGGGAATTCAAGGGAATGATGTATCTTTTCCTAAGTTGTGAATAAAGTCAATATATTTTCAGGTACAAATGCTGGAAGTCTTGTTAAAGAAGTGTTTCAAGAGATGTACAATCCAATTTTATCTGGTAAACCATCCAACATTTCTTGATGTTTCCCTTTGTGGAGGGCTTCGGCCTCACAAAAAATCCCAGGCCACACCCATTGTGAACGGCGACCGCCGGCCATCTGAGAAGAACGGCTTGACTTTCAATCCCAAGAAGCGCCGGAGCGAAGGATGAGCGAAGGAAGTGTGATGCCCATGAGTAAACCATTGTAGCAGGGTGTGTGTATATACAGATGTATACACACAGGCCCATGGATATCCCATTGTAATCATGCATCTCCCATTGTAACTGGGCTTACAACTCCACAACTAGGGATCAGGATGGTCACAACCAACGGTGTTAAGGGCCAACTCTCGCAACCACCAACAATGATGGCCCCCAAGGGCAGTACAATTAGAGCTGACTGGAAATTTATTGCGATGAAGGAAGTCTGTAGCACAGAAGTAGTAGGAATATTCTTGAATGATTGAAGAAGATTGAGAGTTTTCGATCATGACTCGGTGAGAACAGAAGTGGGTATGATTCGGGGCCAAGTCATCAGGATTGTGAACAAAATCTGTGAATGGGGGGATCTACTACAGAAAGAAAAAGATGTGCATGATACCCTCTGGTAAACTAACATAGCTATTGAAAATGGCCATATAGTGGATTTACCCATTAAAAATGGTGATTTTCCATAGCTATGTTAGTTTACCAGAGGGTAAATGATAACTTGGTGATCCCAATTTCATCAGAATTCATCAAGAGTCAAGGTCCAGCCTTTTATCATGGCTATCATGCGTTTTCCTGTCACAGCTCCTGGAGTTGTTGAGTCAATACAACTTGCTTCATGGCTAGTCTAGATAAGTCTGCCACAAGTTTCGCCAGCCGTTGCGTTGCAGTGGACATGTTTCAATTGTTTCTTGTGGAATATTATACATATATATATATATACATATATATATATATGTAAATACATAGACATATATATATATATACACACATACAGATCTATTTCGTGTTTGGTGGGAACCGCATCTTGTCATTGACATCTAAGTGGGATCTTCGCGCACCAAGGCGTGTTGACAGCAAGCAGTTCAATTCCCAGGAGCTGGCGCCCAAGAGGCCGACCACCACTGGATGCCGTGGCCGGGTTCAAACGGCTCCATCGCTCCCCGGGACGGTTCCGGCAGCCAACGGTAACGGCCCGGGGCCCCCGGGGCCCGCGGGCCCCCTGGGGGCTCGGGCCAAAACTGCAGCGCGGCCGAACAGCAAAGGTGCAGTGATCAGAATGAAATCTGCACCTAGATGCTTGGGCTGCTTATGGGCCACAGATTGAAAGGTGATGGGATGATTTTGGATGATTTTGGTGTGATGGAAGTAATTAGATGTAATTAGCACGTGTGGTGAATGGCCAAAACAGTGTTGTCGCGGTGAACATCCTGAGAGTGAGCAAAGATGTCTTGGGACGCTCACCAGAGTTGGAGCGGTTTGGTTTCGATTCAACGTTGAACTTCCAGAAGTTGTGCTGTCCAGCAACCACAGTTCCTCCCAGACCACAGCATCTCCCAGGAATCTCCAGTGGCACTCCGAAGCCAACTGTAGCTGTGGCTGAGAAGGGCAAGGTGAACGGCACGAATGGAACGAAGGTCAAAGAGACCAAAGAGGTCCGTCGCAGATCGCTGGTCATGGAAGACTTAGGCGCCAGAGGGTGCCATGGGGGTATTTCCTCGTTTTCCTCAGCAATATCAGCCAAAATCTTTCAAGGATTTTTGGCAATAGGGCAAAACCCTCAACAAAAGCACTAGCCAGAAGCTGTCTTGTTCACCGCCCAACCGATCGCCAGGCGATGCCATGTTGCATCAGCTGAGCACTTCCAAGGCGAAACAAAAACCGGAGGAGCTGGTGATGGATGGGAAACCTCCAAGGGCCGCGGATGACACTGTCGCGCCTTGGATGACCTATGGACGCCCACGAAATGGCGCGCTTGATTCAATTGGGGATCAAATAAAAATCAAGCTGACACCTTGTGGTAACCTCGAATTTGTGTGAATTTGTTGGAAGCACACTGGCGCCAAATGCGGGAGTCTTTGACAGCGCCGTGATCACTCCAGGTAGTTGCTCGCAGACCAAAATCTGCACGTGTGGAGAAAGTGAAGGATGATGATCCGGAAGAGACTCGCCAGATGTTCGACAAGAGAGAGCTGCGAAAGTGACTGTGCCTGAAAATGGTGGATTTTGTGGTAGCCCCGATTATGACACGTTCCAGGGGTGTAAGTCCAACATTTTGGATCACTCAGGAGTAGCAATCATCTTGGGTCTCTATGCCAAAAAGCAAATACAATTTTGTTGTTTGTATCCGCATGTTGATAGGCTGATATAGGTGGTATGTTCCCAAAAAAGAAACATGTTTTGATTTTTGTTTGTTGGTTTGCGAATTTCAGCTCTCCATGCTGTGATTTATCTCTCACCATCAGTCAAATCCAGATTTTGGCTTGTGAATTTCCAGTTTTTTTTCCCTTGAACCATGTCATGCGAAATAATATCAAACCGTTGAATCATGCATCCAGCTTTCAGCTTGTGAAAATACAATTTATCTGCCAGAATCATCTTGAATCCAGCTTTTCATGGCTAGTGAATGCTAGTGACAGTGCCATTTTCATCCATTTTCCAATATTTTCCACACATTTCACAGATATATCAGATATCTCGCGAGCTGAAGATGTTGAGCCCTCCATTTTTTCAGCCTTTTCCGAGGCGCCACAAGGAGCTCTTTGCGCAGCATGTCACGCAGTGGCGCAGGAGACAGATAGATTCTCCCAGCCCTGAGGTGTCGCGGCAAGAATTTCTGGGGATTTTTTGATCGATACATGGAAGATGTTGAGGAAAAACCCATGGAAAATCATGGAAACAACGTACGAAACAACTGATTCATTTCGATGTTTTGATTCATTTTGATGTTGTTTTGATTTATTTCGATGTTATTTTGATTAATTCCGATGTTATTCCGATTCATTTCGATGTTATTTTGATTCATTTTCCATGGCCAGAAGAATACAAAACAGCAGCCAAGATAGGGACACGTATCTACACAGTTCCAGCCTCAATGTTTTTTTTTGTAGGGCAACTTCCCGACATCGAGGCAGAAGCCTGCCGAGTTCGAGTCTACGTTCGGAAGAGGCCTCTGTTTGATTATGAAAAAGAGGCAGAGACTTGGCAGCATCCAAAAGACTTTCTCTTGAAGCACAGTTCCAGGGCAGTAACAGCGTAGCTGTGAAGCGTGAAACCCCGACGTGTGAAAAATCTTTATGACAACTGCTTGGAACATGTTGGAAAATGTTGGAAGCAGCACTTATTTCGGGTTGAGCTTTTTGGCCTTGGTGGATGGTGGGCTCGTCTCTGTTTCTCCGCTTGGCTCAGGAAGAATTTGATGCCCTTCCCTCAGTTTGCCGTCATTGGTCCGGTGCGGCGCCCAATCAAAACATGGCTTCGTTGCGCAGCAACGTGACCGAGGTAGCTACAGCCCGTGGTCGGAAGATTGTGATCCACAACTGCCTGACTAAAGCTGACCTTCGTTCCCTCTTCATCTCGCACATGGGCTTCCAATTTGCACAGGCCACCGGGACACCGGGATTCAGGATCGGATGATTTTTTGTTGACTGGGGGTTCTGCGGCGGTTGTAGGATGATGGATGAAGACATGGTGATCGATCTAAAGGTCCTTGTACGGAGTTTTAATTGCGAAAGCCGTGCATGTTATGTTGGAAGCCCTCGCGAAAGTTCTAAAACCCATGCAAGACTTTTAGTATCCGAGTGACATCTGCAGATATGGACGTGAGTTTTACCTCAGTTGCGAAAGGTTGGCGAAAGGCGAGTCTGCCAGGATCCCACCCTGGCCCAAAATGGCTAGTTACTGTACTAGTTTATCTTGCAATGTTGCCACTTCAAAAACCCTTCAAAGGCGTTTCAACTTGTGCTTCCTTTGGCAGGCAATCTGTAAAACGACTAAGTCGTAGTCATATGCGTCCACTCAATCCTCTTGTAAAGCTTTACTACATTTTACTACGAAATATGCACACGAAAACATGCTAACACTTCTCTGTCCCGATTCTGGTGGGGCGCGAAAGGGCTGCGAAAAGGTAGTTTTGGAGAAGCATAATTATTTTGAACATTTTTGAACAACCCCCATAGGCCCATAGGCTATGGCCCCACAGGAATCCATAGGATGCAAAGGGACATTGGCCAATGCTACAAGCTGCGACAAGGCGACCTGACGCCAGGCCTTTGGCGAGTCGGTCTCTGACGATGAGGTGTATCAGCAGTGCGCGGCGGACGCTGTGCAACACATGCTGCAGGGCAAGGTCGCCACTCTTTTCATGCTTCTGGGTGATGTTTCAGCACGCTGAAGCCCGGAGGTCTCATGTATATTCATGTATTGTGGCAAAAATCATCAAAAATTACATTCTGGATGTTGGCACTCACACACTTTTCAGACGTGCAGCACTCTCAAGCGGGGCTCGCAGGAGTCATGAGCAGTTAGAATCAGTTAGAAGAGATGTTTCAATACACCAGGGCCATCCTTTCCCATCAATGAAAAGTCATTGAGTCATCAGTTCGACGTGTTGCATTTAGAATCATTTCGACTTTAACATAAATTATGCCATAGGAAATCCCCATGAAAAAATCACTGCAGGTTTGGCCAAACTGGCAGTGGAAAAACCCACACCATGAGTGGTCTCTGTCAACGAGCGGCACAGCACATCTTTCGGTCCCAGTCGCTGGTGACGTTGACCGCCTTTGAAATCGCGGGCAAGGCGGGGGATCTGTGGGGTAAAGCGGCAAGCACTTATCGAACAACAAACTGATATGATTGGGGTTGTAGTAAAAGGAAAAGCAACTCCATACATATCCAACAAACATGAATCAACATAACTGATATTTCATGGATTTTCATGGAACATTTAGAGCATGTAGAGGTGACTATTTAGATCATACATTCAGCTGAGACTTTTTCGCACAGACATCAAGCCGACAGGATCATCCCAAGTTGCCGTGCCAAGTTGATAGCCAGAATAGTCATTTGCATTTAGATTTGATTGGATTCGATTGGATTAGATATCATTAGATATCCATATCTATATATATAATATCTATATCAATATCTATATCAATATCAATTATCTATATATATATATATACAATTCTACATACTGTACATGAAATAATATATACTGTACATAGAATACATGCGAATAGATATTGAACCAATCGTTTACCCCCCCAACTGCTGTTTCACTGCGGCCAGGTCATGCGGGATCTCTTAGATCACAGTTCCAAGGAACTGAAGATCCGTGAGGACGGCCCCTGGACGGAATGGGCCGTTGACTCGTTGAATGTGGAGGATTTAAGTCAGCTACAGAGATAGTGGTTACCCTCTGGTAATTTGTTACATAACTATGGAACATCACCATAGAAATAGTGGATTTTCCATGATTTTCCCATGAAAAATGGTGATCTTCCATAGTTATGTAAACGTTTACCAGAGGGTAATAATAGTTGAACATGGCTGACTTGATGGCTATGGATATGGCATATGGTTTAAAGTGGTTACCCTAGGGTAAAGCTACAGAAAGATGTGGAACACCCATGCTTTGCGGTTTGGAAAATGGTCTAGAGAGGGTAGAAATTCTACGTGGAACTCTTAGGTTACCCCAGGGTACCTTCCGAAAATGATGTTTTTTGCCACTGAATCATGGATGATTCCCTTACTCACCATCAAAGTCTTGTGTTTTTTCTTGCCATAATTAGTGATGGATAATTCATCAACCATCAATTTAATCAATTTGTCCATGGAAATTCAAGCAACCCAAGAACAGTTCTAAATGGTTTTAGACGGAGATTCAATGAACCAACACAGCTGTGGAATGACATGACGTTTCTGCCAGGATAAAAGTGGCAAGACGCAAATTCTGGGGCTTCAAGGCCAGGTTCAGTGAAGTTTCCAGCGGATTTTTTTTCAGGTCGGATTTGAACATATTATGGGTATGGATCAATACCTATTAATACCATTTTTAGTGGGATGAACATCCATTTACCAGCTATTTTGATGTTCACCAGGGGTACAAGGTTTTGACCCACTGCCATGTCTGATTTCTTGTTTTTCATGTTCGGTCCCAACAAAATAAAGGGATGATGACCACGGATTTTTTTTGTTTTTCCACAGTGTCAACGAGTCAACAATCCGATGTCCATGGATCCTCAGCCAGATCCCTTGATTGATCACTTCATGGATCAGCTCTTGACTTCAGCCACTGTTTCAGACGTTTCAGCCCCATGATGCTATGGAATCTTATGGATGTATTCTCATCACAGCTTCAATGTCGGAGATGTAATCATTATGTTTCAAACTTAGATGTAGGGAAGCTAAAAACCGGAACCCCCGAAGTTGCAAACCAAAACATACCAAACCCCCGAAGTTTCCTGAAATCAATCCATTGATGTCCATTGATTATATTTTATAGCTGATATAACTTTGTGGGTTTGTCATCCATATTGCACGACTCTATACTTGGGCCTAAAAACATTTTTCCGTCTGCAATTTTTAAGAACCGATGCAGACTACTGTTGGTAATATCCAATTGGAATGAATATACTCTGACGTTCCCCGTAAATGCAAACAGGTGTATCCAATTGAATTACCATTTTGGTGGCGAAATTCAACAGAATCTGTGGAAAGTTGGGTAACAGATGATAAACATGTTAAGTCAATCGACAGACAGACATCCAATTTTTGATGGTTTTTTCCCCGCGAACCCTCCAATTCTAGGTAGCCAGATCCCATCAAATGCCAGGAAAGTTGCGGTAACCTTTCCATAATTTCCAACATGTTCCCTCTAAAATCCATTCCAATCCTCCAACATTCCTCCAACTTTCGAAAATCCACCAATGGTTTCCAACTTTTCCCTCAATTTTCTCCAACTTTCCCTAGAAATCCCCATTTTTTATTCCTCCAAAAACCCATGGATTCCACGAAAAAAAATCCCAGGCTCCGAGGCCTCAAGTCCGGAGGCGCTGTTGAGTCAGCTTCGAGAGGCGCAGGCGGGGCGCGCCACGCGCGCCACGCAGGTGAATGAGAAGCTCGGCAGCGTGGCGGATGGGGAGTCTGGATGGGGATGCCCCAAGTCAGCTGGATGGGGCATATTTTTCATGGAAAATGGATGATGACTGGGGGTACCCACATTTTAGGGAATGCCCATATAATATATTTATATGGGTATGGGTCAAAATTAGGTACCCCAATAATTGGATTGTTAATATTAAACTAGACTAACATCTGTGGTCCCCTAGGTCTTCCATTTTGACCCACATCCATATTTATATATATATATCTATCTATCTTAGTGGGATATTAAACCTTAGTTGATAGGATTATTAGTTAATAGGATTTTTAGCGTCAACATGAACAAACATTTTTTTCAAACGTTATTCAATAGGATTATTAACATCAACAACCAGTTGGGAGCATGAACAGTAACAACCCGTATGTAGTTGGGATGTAAAACGGATGCAAATGGGAGGGTGTATATGAGAAATCCTATGAAATTTATTGGATATAAATGGGATATTAGTGGGACTATGAAATTCGCATTTTTTCATGTGGATGAAGATACATTAAACCTAACATAGTTATCCCATCATTCATCAGTTATATTCCCATGTTTTAAGGTTAAACTCGTAATAATGATGATTGAATCCCATTGGAGTACCTTTCAACTAGGGTTTAAATGGTTTAGCAGTCACTGCTGGCGCCTTAGTAAACTCATCTTAATATTGTTATTACCCTCTGGTAAACTAACATAGCTATCCAAATTTGCCATAGAAATTGTGGATTTACCCATTAAAAATTGTGATTTTCCATAGTTATGTAAACGTTTACCAGAGGGTATTACTTTTTATTATAATAGTTCGATTCCGACGGCGCCGTGGCGTCTTGTAGCGCCCCGGCGAAAGGACCTCCTCGCGATCGCATGCGGTGTTTCGCATCACAAAAGGTGATGCGACGCTGACGTCGCTGGGCCGAGCTGGGCGGTTTTCCATGGCGTGAGAGCTGGGCGGTATAAAGGTAACCTGGTTGGTGGTTTGGAACATGGCTTTTATTTTTCCATATATTGGGAATAATCATCCCAACTGACTAATATTTTTCAGAGGGGTTGAAACCACCAACAGTACCGAATGGTGATCATGAATGGTTAAATGATGATGAATAAATGATTA